CTCACCTATGTTCTCCTTCACTACTTGTTGAATAGAAAGCTAACGTTGACCAAACTAAAACATGATATCAGTCTAAGGAAGTCATTGACTATTGGTCTGGATCGTGTGTTGATAGATGCAAACTAGTTAGCTGACTAAAGTCTGTATAATAATTGCCATCGGTTGTTAAAGGGCTGAAATGAAAGAGTTTAGAATCATTCTTAATGAGGTAAATGGATTCATTATTTTATCTTCCTGTAGCAATTTCTGTTCCTTCATAAATAAACGATGCTGCCAGTGTTTAAACTCTTTCAATATCATTGATCACAGTTTGCATACGATATGTCAATATAGACTAATGGTCATTTGTGCCGAGCTCAAAATTGATTGATTGATTGACTAGTCAACTGAAAATTAAGTTCAATTACACAAAAATATACTAGTCAATGAATTATTTCAGTATGAGATTAAAATCATTTCCAACAGTGCCTTATTTCCTAATATGATTAAGAAGATACTAGCTTTTGGAAAAAATCATGTTTAACATTTCCTCAACTTTCTTGTCCACTAAACTAAACTTTCACTTATTGTGTGTTAATGCATATATTTTTTGAAAGCATATGAAAAAGCAGTTCGTGCTGCACGTGAATACTCAAAAGTTGAAGGTGTCAGTTTGTCGACTAAACCACCTGATCATTGTTTTTTTCGACGACTCCCTGGATTAATTGAACGTACACATAGTAAATGTGAACGTGACAATGGATTAATGTAAGTTATAATGTATATTTTTTCAGGCAATTAACTTTGATCGGTAATTTTTTTGTGTGAATGATATCATCCTTAACCCCTTATAGTTGCAAGTTTTACGATTTTAAATATGTGTCTGGAAGTGGAATCCAAAACTTGTTTCATCTTATTTTTCAATTCGTCAACTGGGTCTACATGGATCGAAGTCGGTATATCCACCTCAGGATTCGAACTCAATAACTTCCGCTTCAAACCATATCTCGTTGTTCAGTGATGGAGGGTTTCATCATTTGAATAAAGAATTTTCAGTTGCTTAATTCAATGAGTGGAATATTGATTGATCAATCATCTCTAGTGAAATGAAATGTGACCACGTAATGGCTGATCACCAGACTTTATTACTAATGCAAGTCACTAATATTATCGTATCAGCTACTGAGTGAAATTTACCGAGTTCAAGTCTTATTGTGAACATCATCACTAGAATTTAGGTACCTTCAACTGATATATACTCACTTCTTGAACCCTACTGCCAACTACTAAGATTTATAACAAAACAGTATCAAAACATATAACAACAGGGAGATTAACCATTCACAATATTCTTCTTCCAGTTTCATAACACTATGATAAAGCTTTTTAAACGTTTATTTTCAGATATATATATATATACATCATTAAATTTCTGTTTAATTTTCTAACTTCTTTTCTCAATTAAAGAATATCATATTAGCGATATTGATCGAATGTTGAATAAGATCATATATTCTTAATGATTAGTTAGATTAATACCATATTATAATAAGCTATACTAATAATCAATATTTTAGAAAATGTGAAAGTTGCCATAGATTTTTGTTTGAGTGTAATATAAATTACATAAAAAGGTCATGGTGATTGTATGACTTTGCCGACAATGTAGTAGTTGATTGGTTGGTTGGTTGGTTCCAATGAATTATGCTTTTAAAATAAATGAACTAGATAGTGAACATGTGATTCTCATTTTATTCATAATAACTCAAAAATAGAATCTATTTCTCTTGTTATATTATGAACATTAATTGTTTGGAATTCTTGTCAAATATTCTTTTAATTTTTCAGTATATTTAAAATGATCTATTTCAGAATGATTTTTAAATACTTTTAAATTGTTACGCTTAACAATTGATATGCTTGAAACTATTACAAGTTCATCTTAGGTTGGTAAACGAGAGCTAAGACAGATAATCCAGTGACACGATAGGCTATTCTAATTCGAGCGTCTCAAGCTCCCCGACTAACGGTATCAAAAAGTCTTGATATGGCGTAGAAAGTGTATTCTATAAGCATCCAGAAAATATAAGGGTTTTGTACATAAGAAGAAGAGAAGCATAAAATTTTACAGGCAATGCATATTTATATAGTTAGGTAGACCGTGAATACTAACCAATAGGAAAGAACATTTAAAAGTATGTGAACTTGATAGTTTATGATGACCTTAAATATTGACCAGTAAGAATTGACCAATTGAATTAGACTCACAAAATAATTTCTTTAAGATATTTGATGAATATCCTAATATAAAAGGTTAGAGAATTTTTCAAAGTGTGGATCTTCAGTTTAGCAGTGAATTAAGTAACCATGAATAATAGGTGGTTCAGTATGTTTAGTGTAGCCGAATGTGTTGATCTTCACTTATCGGTTAATCACAGTTTACTTTCTTCACACGCACAATATGTCACTTTGAATTGGTAGATTTAGGTGAAAATGGTTCAAATATTGGATTATGACTTGGTTGTGTTAACAGGGAATTCTTAATGACAGTTGATCGGGATTCTGCTAATACAGCTAGGATATACCTTTAGACTCGATCTTATGACAACTAATACACAACATTTGAGCAATAACCATATATATGGCTGATAGTAAAGCAAATATAAATAAGAAAAGTACGATCATGGTTATCTCTGTTAGCTGGGATTATTGTCTATTAGCAAAATAAACTCTTATTATTATATCTGAATTATTTTCGAGTTTTCTCTGTACATTTATTGGATTTTTCATTAAAAACCACAACAGTTAAAGGCTATCTTTTGATTACTTTAGGATGTATTGATAATATCTGTTACTTAATATTATTTGTGAAAATGGTTATTAACTAATAACTTGCTGATCCAAATTACATTAAGACGTAAATCAGTCAGTCAGATGCAACGTAGAACTTCGTACGTAAGTACATCAGTTCATGTTGCCATACCACATGAGCACAGAGATGTAATTGTCAATTCAAATCCAATAGTAGAAGAGGTAGTAAAGGTATTTGAAGTAGTCGGAGAGTTTAGGATAAGAAGATATTCAAGAAATATGATTCAGTGAGAAAAGTTTAGAAAGTCAAAACTAGAGTTGTTGAAGAATCCAGAAGATTAGGATTTGAGAGAACACAAAGAATAAATTTACCGGCGCCATTGCAAACGGTTTTGAGCCATGTCATTCAAGGTCTCTAGCCATTGATTATTATCATCTCGCGGACTCCAACCAGGTAGTTGACAACTACAGACATGGCTAAGTCCACTCGTCAATGACTTCATGGATTTCTGCCATGATTTGGTCTGGCCGCCCCTAACTTTCTTCCAACCTATTCCTCAACTACAAAACAAAGCTCGACGAGGCAGTCGATGGTTAGGCATACGCAGCACATGTCCCAACCACCTCAACTGACGAAGTTTCAACACTTCATCTATAGATCTGCCATTCTTCCCTAGCACCCGATTCCTAATAACAGCGTTGCTTACTCGGGTGTCCCTGGATATACGAGCAATGCTTCGAAGACACCTATGATCGAAAACCAATAACCGACGAATATCTTCTACTCTCATTGGCCATGTTTCACAGCCATAAAGTAAGACGGAGCGAACTACTGCACAGTACACTCGTCCTTTAGTCAGCGAACGGATATCTCGCCTACGCCATAAGTGACGCAGGTTGGCAAAAAGACGTAAATATTTATGAACTGCTGAATTTGATTTACACTTCCATCAAATTATTGTTGAAATGGACGTTTATGGATGAATTAAGAAGTGATATTCTCTCAAATAGTTTTTTTTTCATAAAATTAGTATTTATGTTACAATTTATAGTTGTATTTTAGAGAGTTTTGTTTCTATTGCGCACTTGAATAGTCGCCTATTTTTATTGTGAACAATATTTCGCTTTTAAAATGTATGTAAGCTGACTATTTTGTGAATGAGTTCACATATTTTGTGTTGTAACAGAGAGTTTGACTAGATTACTTAAGGCGTAAATACTTGTCTGACCGTTAATCAGCAATTAGATATCAATAATTAGATTTAAATTAACACAAATACAGGTTTTAAAGTAGCCACTTTCACCATAAAGTTAGTTCAATTGTACAGCGTTATGTTTGGATTTACCTACTGGCTAGTTACAGACCATATAATTTGTGCAGATCTTGTTGCTTAACGGGGGTAGTCCTAAATTGTCACCTTCATATTATGGTTTCAATTCTTGCATTACACGTAAAAATTCAAATGATAATTCTTCTGTTCCCCAATAATCATTTTATTAACTTTAGATATCATCAAAAAGTCCCAACGGTTGCTCCATTTCTGGAAATAAAAGCTGAATATGGTATTGCAGCACCTAAAGAACCTGAACTTAATTTCGAGTTAGATCCCAGATGGAAAGAGGCTTACATTGGTTTTGATACTAGCAAACTAGTGAATAATATGTTACCAAACTCTGTAAGTTAACTATCTGACACTAATATTAGGTTTCCTATTAGTATTTATACAGTAGTTACTATCACATTACCATTATATTCATTTATGATTACTTCAGTTTTTTACGACTAAGCTAAAAGCTGTGACTTACCCGTCTTTTCTCCCATCTTTTGAGTCACCGGATATACCTAGTGCTTGAATGCTTGACATTAACTTGATAATCACTTTCTACTTCCATAGGGATCTCTCACAGTTGATCACCGAACGGAAGACAATGGCTGTGAGATATAAAAAAAGCTATTCCCGCAATGTTAGTTTAGAGAAGGAAGCATGAATATTTGTAGGCTTGTTTGTGACATTGATATTCTAGTGGCCTTTGAAAATATACTTGAATTAATTACCAGAATTGGTAACAATTTAGTCAAGATCCATGGTTTTTCTGAAACTTTATGAGAGGTTTTCTATTTAACGTTGATTTAACTAAGAATCTGCAATGTTCTCCCAATTTTTTTTGGCTACCTTTATTCCCAAGTGAATGGATACACTTATGCAAAATGTGGCTAGTATTCGCTTTGCATCCATTCATTTGGTAATATTATTTAATTTATTCGAAAATTCTAATCCATCCAAGTTGACAGCAGATAGTGTAGTTTGTATTTCAATGTATAATTTGTAAACCCATTTTTTCAATAGCTGATTCGTCCGTCCGTGGTTCTTTAAATTATATAAATATGTATTTGTCTTTTGATGCTAGGTATGAGCTGTTGTTTGTTACCAAAGAAGTATTAGGGGGTGTAGGAAGGATTTGATTTTGACCAATTCGGTCCCGTGTGCTGTTACGGGTATGAGGGCGGTTGTCACTTCCCGGCTGCCCACACCGTGGAAGGTTGTATCTTGAGGGACTTGAAAAGGAAGACAGATTAGTATTGGTCTTGGAGACCTGGGAGCGTGACCGCAGAGTCCAAGGGACAACTGCTTGAGGCCGGTCACACACGGCCTTTTTATGAAGGATTTTTTGAGTATTAGCTCCGCTCTTGAAAGCCCTTAGTGGACACCCTTACCACCGGTGACGGAAATCCGTGAGGTAGGGTGAGGTGTGACATTTTTAGGGTCGACATTTTCTAACCCTTCCTTCCTTGTGAGAAGGCAGCATCATTGTAGATGCTGGTTGTCCGAGGGAAACAAATGTTTGGTTATCACTTAACAGTGAATTCTAAGCTGATTACTCTTCTTTCATAGTAAATTAATTCATTTCTTAGTGCAGCACTATTAATGACTTCGTTTGTTCTAATTGTTCGAAATTACAAATTAACTGGTAAGAAAAAACCTACTTGAAAATGGAAATCGAATTAATTAGCTCATAAATTTTAACTGATGAAATTGGTGGCCTGAAGTGAAGAATGACGTCTTAACTTCGCACCTTACATATTTCTCAATATTATATCATTAATTTCAAATTATTATGGGTAAATTAATAAGCATTATTTCTGTGAGACACTTTTTAAAAACCCAAGGATAAAGCGAAAAGCAGTTCATATGATTAGTGAAACTTCTTACCGTGAATAATGATATAATTCTGTATGCTATAAATTATTCATATATTGCATCAAAACTAAACTGTATTCCATATCGTTTATGTTTTACTTCCCTATCAATTTTTTTTTGTTAGAAAAATTCAAACGATCATAAAAATCCTGGAGCCAAAGATACACCAGTTGAACCAGTTCGTGAAATGCCTATTTTTAGTACTGACAAAGATCCAAAAAATGATAGTGGATGTGTTATATCATAATGGGAATTTCGAAAAAAAAAATTATCTTCAAAACTTCTCAACAGCTTTATTTATTGCTTTAAAAGTTTCTTTCATAGTATATATATATATTGTTTTCATACTTCTTTTAAAAGTTTGACGATCATTATGTGTGCTATTACTAACGAACATTTTGATGACCATTTAATTAGCTTTTAATTTTTTTATTTTTATTGTTGATTTATCTATTTCTTATTTGATATGTTTATTCAGTCATAGTATTTTTGTTGAATATATATATATATATATATATATATATATATATATATATATATTGTATATAAATAATTGGCCAATACTCTATTCTGTTGAAATATTTCTGGTCTAACAAACAACTTATCAGTCATTACAACATCCTATCAATTTTTATTATTTTACATCTTACCTTCATTGAATATTATAATCTGTGGTATTTGTAAAGTCTAATTTAATCTGAGAAATGTTTATGAGTAAAAAGGGCAGTGCCTAAAAGCTACTAGATTGATCTTTTGTAATGATTAAAACGCAGTTAGAGACAGATCATTTATAGAAAGGTCAATATCATTTTTAGGGGTAGAGTTTATTTAAAAACTACCCTAAGGTATGGTGTAATACGAATCGTATTTAAAATATAAAATATGTAGTAAGTAATTACAGTGACACTCACTGCTTTCTGAGATTTGAAAACGCAAGTGACATTGTCAGTTAGTTGCAATGTAGAACTTCGTACATGAGTAAATAAGTTCAGTTTGCCATACCGCGTCAACGCAAAGACGCAACTGTCAGTTCAAATGCAATAGTGGTCGCGATAATAGCAGTATTAATGGTAATGGAGAAGATTAGGGTTCGAAGATATGATTTGAGAAGTATAATTTAGTGAGATAACTTTAGAAAGAGAAAGATAGAAATGATGAGGAATTCAGGTTAGAATTTGAGAAAACACAATGAATGAATGCACCTACACAACAGTAGAAGTTAGAAAGCTGTGAATAAAAATGTAGTCTACAGTGTGAATTTTTTGGTGCTGCTCTATCGGATCGGAATTAAAAGAAACATCGAAACGATGTAGGACTTTGCACAAATATTTATATTTTCAAATTATCGCCTTTTTATATGTATGTAGCAAAGGAAGATTGAATAACGAGAATAAGATGTGACCGATACTGAAAGGAGATGATGCATGAAAAATAATAACAACAAATGAAGTCAAGTAGTAAAAAATCATAGTGCAGTACACTGTCTACAGATTTATAACCAAAATCCCTAGTTTTTGAAGGCACAGACAAGCTGTTATTAAGTACCATTGCATCACAGATCTATGCAAATCGGCTTTATATAGCAATAATATATCTTGATGTATTTTTCAAATTTACTAATACGTCAGCCATTGTAGGTCACTCACGGTTTTAAATGGCAGTCGTGGATAGCACGTGTCGTCAACTTCTCAATCAAATGAAGTTAACAACTATGCCAATTTATTTCTTATTTTTACCTTAAACTTTCACATATACAATGGATGAATTAAAATTATCTCTTTCTGTGGTATACCAAGATAATATAGTAATAGAATTGGACTTGGCAATCGAGCTCTTATCACACTACTAAATTGAATACTCAAAAAATCCTCTGTGCGCATACTATACCACGTTCTATCATATGTCTGGTTCACGACCAAAATTAATGTGCAGTAGATCTAGACAATACTTTATTTCGCGCAATTACAAACAGTCACTCAGTGAGTACGCAGTTAAAGTCACATTTATAGTAACCAATTATCTGTTTTCCTATTTGTTACTGTCTAACCGCATTTGTTCTCAATATCATTAATCAAACACAATATCATTATTAATTACTCAATGCTTCCCTGTACATCAGTAATACTTCGAAGGCAGTACTTCATTACTTGCAAATCATTTATGTCCTCTGCTTTTAGAGTGTTTTTCGCACATATGAGTTATGCTAATTGGACTTCTTTTCAATAGATAAATGAGTATTTGGCCTGTGTCATGGATAACAAGTTGAATACATCTGAACGAACTTTTCATAATTGTTCTGAGTGATTGTGAGTCACTAATTTAAGACGTTTTGAAGTAAGGGATGTAGTCAACAGACTCAATTAATTTGCTTCTAACTCAAACTGGTTATTGATTCAGTAGCTTACATTTGAGTTCAGTAAATGTATCATCACCGCATAATAGAAAGTGGTCTATTATTACAAAGGATGTCGTTTTCTGCTACTTTACGTTTTGTTTTTTCATGCAGCTGAAATGTTTCCAGCTAGTTTTTTCTATGATTGAAACTTAGACCATTTTTCATAGTACTTTCATTACTGTGTTGCTTATTACAAGAAGTCGATTTATATTTACTGCTGTCATGTTGCGTAGTTTATTTTTATTATAACCGTAGTACGTCAAAAATTGAAAATATTAACTTAAAAAATTTACATATCAAGTATACTAGATAAAGATACACAGTCACTGCTGTCAGATGTCATTCCAGGTGAATGTACGTAACAATCCATGTTTTCGTAATAATTAGGTCCAGTTTTTGGTTGAAGTTCTCTCATTTTCCTGGTCCTGTGATTTTCATAATCTTCTTTATATGTTTTTTGTTCCCTATATCATTGTAATAGAAATCATTGATGTTAACTTACAAAATGATTCAATTTTTCATACTTTTAAATGTATAAGAAATTACGAAATTTCACGTAGTATCTTCTGATTGCGTAACAACGATTACGAAATATTATTTTTGTATGTCATTGAAAAATATGCTCTACTGAAAAGTACTTAATTTCTAAGAGCTGTATAATTCTTCAAACAGATTCAGATAACAAAAAGCATCCATATACGAAATTCCTATATAGAACTGTGTTTATCTCCATGTTCTCCTCAGTCAGATAGTATTGTTTTCACTTATGATTAAATTGTTATTCTGTTAGTCATGTGAGTGATTGTGGTAAGATAGGTTTTTTTGAATAATTTACCTTGTCTGTTATATTTACAACACTGTTTAGTTTTTCTGTCGCTACTTTCATGTCGTGACTCACAACACTTCCATGTTCAGCGAACAGTTAGTTTTTGTGTATATGATATGCTTACAAAACCTACCACTACGTTGTATCCTGAAGTCGTTTTATTCTTCTTGAATTTTCTCATAGGAATCAGTTTTCACCATTGTATGATAATGTGTTTACAACTTCCCTATCCATTCCAATGTATCAAAACTTTTAGTTCAATATAATTCCAGAAACTCAACCGAAAGGCTACATATTTTAACATTATTATATCTGCAGGTTTATTTACTAGGTCTTTATTCGCAAGGATTAGACAGTGATCTTTGGATTATGTTGCACTTAATTAAACTAGCGCGTCCTCCATCTTAATTTAAGTGATTCAGGTTTATTGAGAAATTTATGAATTAGAAGGAACTTCAAGTGTTCTTTAAAGTACCACATCGATTTTCCTCGTAAATTATCCGTTAAACATCTACCTTATAGGATATAACAAAGACAATAATTTTCCCAATTATAAGCCTCATGTCTAGTCCAGCGTCGTTCTTTTCACAAGAGGAAATAATTCATCCCTTTGTTAATCTGCAAAGAATCGCTCTGGTATCAACAAAATTGAATGATTTTGGAACATTCAGTCAGTTTTTGTGTTAATTTTTTTTACTCCTCTTAACTCATCGTTAAGTTGTCAACATACCGGAAATCATTTGTCAACCTTGGTACAGATCGAATGTTAGGCTTTCTTGCAGCATTCGAAAGAGGTGTCCGGAACTTCATATGTATAGAGTGTGTGGATCCTGTGCTAGAAAACTTTAAGTAGGTTAAAGAAAAGAAGCCTATGGTACCGTGTAATTATTGGGGCCAAGTGTTGACTGTTTCTTATTTAGAGTTGAAATTTCATTACTGTACATATTTCCACGAGATCTAAATTCAAATCGATTGCCTAGAATGTTCATTTGTTTGCTACAGAAACACTAACTGCTTTCTTTTAAAGATCTGAAATTATTTCGTAAAAGCACAACTGCGTGTTTTAATTCGTCATGAGATGAAGTAAGTAAACGATCACATTTGCTAGCTTCATCAGCTATAGAATTGACTTTCGAAAAAATTCTAAAGATTTATTTAAAAGAAGTTTTACCTGTCTAAACTTTGAGTAATAGAAAGGGGAAATTTTTTTATTTTCTCTGAGAAAGCATTTAAGTACTAAGCGACCTGTTATGAGAGTGAGTGCACATACATTTTGTTTATCGACAATATTATTCTTCTCATTAACCAGTTGTTTCACTGACTCTGATGTGGTTTTAATTACATTGTTGTTCAGATTTACACCGATTATTTTTTCCGAACTATTTATCTAAAAATGGTACGGTAAATCATGTCATCATATCAAATCTACCTTGTTCATTAGATAATCAGTGGTCTCATTGATATCGCTTAGCAGATTGCTGATAATGACATCCAATAATGATTGACGAAATGTTTACCTTAGTTTTAACTCATCCATATGTTCGTCATCTTTATCTGTGATTAAGTTTGTTTCTTCACGGTCAGGATGCTTCCAAATATTACGGAGTGAAGTCCAGAAAGCTGAATTCTTAAGAATTTTACCTGTTTATTTATTGGTGTAGAACTTACATATTCTGAGTAACTTTGATTCACGTGGTTTTCAAATTCATCTTTAGACTGATGCATGTTGCTATTGAGCTGTAAACTGAAATCATGTGAATTTTGATGGTTTTGAATATCATCTAAATTAATACTAAGACATCATTAGTTTACATTCAGAGTTAAATTACTCCAATAATTTCCGCTGTATACCGGTTTGCGGAATCTTAAATGACATTTCCTTTGGTTGACTATATGACTTATGTAATTATTACGAATGTAGTGTAGATAAACAACATACTAACACCCAGTTCGGACATTTCCTGAATATCTTTTTCTAGGGTTAAAATGCACCAGTTGATTACTTTGCGCTCTCCTATTGTTGTTTCCATGAGGTTCCAGGTATCTAGCAATTTCCGATGGGTGGTGATCTAGTCACTCGACTGCACTATTTCCAATCAGTTGGCAATTATTTATGAATTTGTATATTACGTGATTTGAGTGTGTTTGTCTCAAGGATGTATGTTTTCTAAACATCAACAGCTATAACATTATTTAGTTGCAGTGTTGAGGGGAATTCTAATTCTAGGGAGAGGACAGATATCCAATATCTTTTACACGAGCTAGTGTAAACTGGTGAGCTAACTGAGCCTAACAGGTCGTTAATAAATATCAGGAAGAGAAGTAAGCCTAAGACGGTCCCCTGTGAAACACCCGATGTGGATACTCGCCAACTCGCGTGCACTTTGTTTACCTTGGTGGGAAACTTTATATTCTGAAGGTGGTTTCTGAGCCAAGATACGAGTGGGTCAGTGAAGCCCATTTCCACAACCTTTTCGATTAGACGTGCGTGGAATACTGTGTCAAACGCTTTTGAAAAGTAGAGAAATATTACGTGCATCGGTCCAAACAGGATTTCCTACTGTCCCATGTGATGAGAAGATTAGATGCACATGACCTGAATTTCCGAGACCCCTGTTCAGCTTCATGGAGTATTTTCTTCTTATCCATGTACTCCCTCATTCGTTCGTCCACTAGCCCTTCCATTACCTTTGATAATATTGGTAGTAATGCGACTGGTTCGTAACAGGCTGGGTCCTTTGAAGATTGGAGAGAGGGTAGCTTGTTTCCATTCAGCTGGAAGTTGGTGTGAGTCCAGAGAATGCCTGAACAGG